TATAGACAAGCTGTCAGCAACGGCTAGGCGGCCGCTTACTAACGAAGACAAGGGCGAGCGAGGTTAACCAAGATAAGCGGCTAGGTAGCCGGTGTATAGACTAGATCAAGGTTAAGAGTAAGTTACAAGCAGGGGCGGAGTCTTATATAGGTATGACGAGACAAACAACTGTAAATAAGGCGCGAGCACTAGATGAGTCGAGCGTGAGTCACGTGAGAGTCCGGAAAAAGGAAAAGGAAAAGGAAAAGGAAAAGGAAAAGATAATGGATAATCGGGTGTCCGTAACATCACCCTCCCTTCAGGCTAGTCGCCCACGACTAGACACGCATACATCGCGGATGCGCCCTGTGGTAGTCGTCAATTGCTTCATCGGCGTCCTGCATCAAGTTGGCAACGGGTTCCCAACTGTTGTGACGGTCTGAGTATCCCTTCCACTTGACCAAGTACGTCATGCTCCGGTGGGCGCCTTGGCCGATGATCTTGGAGTTAATGAGGGCCTCGACTTTATAATGTTCTTCACCGTCAATCATTTCAGGTGGGGGTTCCGGCGGGTTGGCTTGATTTGTGAAAGCGGGCGGGGTGTAGGGCGTGAGGAGGGCCTCGTTGAACACGTTGTGTGTCTTCCACGTTGGGGGAATGTCCAAGCGATAGGCGGAGGCACCAATCTTTTCCAGAATCTTGAAAGGGCCATGGCGTCGTTCGTTGAGCGCGGGTAAGGGGCGCTTGGACTTGAGATTGGTTGCTTCAAGCCACACCTGGTCACCGACTTCGTAGTTGCGAGCGTCCTGGCGATGTCGGTCGTAAACCTCCTTCATGGTCTCTTTAGCCTGACGTAGTGCAGACGCGATCTCCTCATGAACCTTCTTGAGGTGTTGAGCGTATGACGTGGCAGCGGGTACGTGGTCTGTGGCACGGGGATTGAGCCCGCTATACGGGTGGCGTCCCTCGGAGGCGTAGAATGGTGTTTCGTGGTGCGAGGAATGAACCGTGTTGTTATACGAAAACTGTGCCGACTTGAGGTACTTGACCCAATCGCTCTGATGGTAATCCACGTAGAGGCGAAGGAAGGTCTTGAGTTCCTGGTTGTAGCGCTCGGTAAGTCCGTCAGTCTGCGGGTGGTACGCCGTGGAGGGATTCCCAACTATGCCAAGCTGATCCATGAGAGTGCGCGTGAACGAGGAGACGAAGGTAGAGCCGCGATCCATGATGATCTTGCGTGGTCGGCCGTGCTCGCTGTAGACGTGGTCGTGGAAGAGTTGGGCAAGTTGGCCTGAGTCCGTGGTAA